AGGAAGTAATACATTGAGAATCAACAAGAGCTCCTGCTGGTTATGGAATGGAGGAAACACTCAAGTAAACACATAGAGAAAACTCTGGATTCATTGATTCATCTGCTATTCATTGGGAAATGAAATGAAAATCATCTGCAAGAGACAAGCAGCCCAATGAATGAATTTAAATGGAAGAAGAGCTTGATGTGGTCTTGATTACTGTGAAAGACAGCAATTGAGTGTTACCTCCACTCCACTACCAGCAGGATCTCTTGTCCATTCTCAATGTCTACCTTCTTTTTAGTAATTGCCAATAGTATAGCTTTGGTACAAAAAATTTGAGAGAAGTTTTAAGTATGGGTTGGAAACATGGTCATACATGCAAAGTAAAAGTTTTGTAAAAATAGTTCTGTTGTGAGCAGGGAGATTTAGATTGGAAATTGTTGGTAATTTTTTTTGCCATACCTGGTATATGAGGCTTTATCAAGAAGTTCATAGGCTTTTTGTTTTTGGCCAGGATACACATACCTTCTGATCCAAGGTGACATGATCCACTTAAACAGACTTTGGAAGGGTATGCTGTGCAGTTGTTATAGGATTTATGATTGAGTCCTGCTTGAAGAATCTGTCTCTTTGGCATGAAATTGAACCAAAGGAAGAGAATACTGTCAAATAGTCCAGTGGTGGATGGCTGATAAGTAAGTGGAATGCCCTAAACATGGATAAAATGATGATGCATGAGTGAGCACATTACTTGGAATTTTTTCAACCACCACATTTTTTGGGAACTTTTTGCATGCCACTTAATCACAGCATTACTAAATACTTAATGGGGCAAGTTCAACTTGCAACCTTGTTTAAGCTACCATGTACTTTCTGCATTTATCAACAAAGGATACAAAGGATCAACAAAAGAGCTGCCAGTTCAGCTATGGAAGCTGAACTGGCACAGCTCTGGTTGGAGATGACACCTTGATCAAAGCCAAGCATGATGCATGTACCTTCAAGTTGTGATCCAGGGAGGCTAGCAGTTGATCATGTGAGAAAATTTTGACATTTCAAATCAGTTTGAAAATTTCTCTCTCTTTTTTTGCCCTCTTTAAAATTAGCCTCCATTCTTTTCTGCATCTATCTGCTTACTGAGTTTCAATATGATCAAGTAAATATTCTTTCAGTTGTTGGACAACCATAGTGTGACAGACAGGACCAAGACAATAAATGGTCTGCAAAATTGAGGTCTCTTTTTGTTCTATGTCTTGGTCTCATCTCCAAAGTCTCATCATCCTTGGCTGTCTTCCTCCTGGTCCTAGGGTGTAGGGAGAGCTGACTTGAAAGGAATGTGTGGTAGTACACTTGCCACCTCCAATCTCTTGGACTAGATAAATTTGGTCAATAAGGATATTTCTTTCTGTCAAAAATGACATAGACAAATACTGAATCTCATGATGAAATGTAAAATATAAAGGGAAAAAATGAAGAAATTTGATGAGACTAATGGGGTAAATTTGCATTTGATCATATGACTAAAACCTGTGGATGTGTGTCACAGACAAAGATGTTACCAATGAATGTCTCCTTGATCCATGCCAATTATTTCAAGAAAGCTGTAGGGATTTTTAACAGTACTCAAAAAGTTCCACTAGAGGTCTTTAAGAAGAGATTTGGTTTGCTTCATGGACAAAGCCATATGCCTGAAGGCATTTTCTGGCTCCTGTTGCAATGGAATTATTTCAGTCCATGGGTACCTTCAAAGGGCTGGACTAAAGATCAATGCTCACAGAGATCCCTTGATACTGAGGGCTGAGCTGGAAAGTACATATACCCATTAGCAGCAGGCATTGAATTCTGACTCACAGGATTCTAACCCCACTACCACAGAGCCAGAGTCCTCTGATTAAATTAATATCTCTAAATTTTCAACATCCAGAATTTTAAATTCATGATCTTAGAGATATCTTTAATTCAAGTATGCATGAACACAGTTAATGTGCCAGTAGGCCAAGCCAGTAGGCATGATAGTTGAGGATATATGTTCTAGAGTATAGCTCCTATTCTGCCCTCATAACTTCTTAGGTTGTAAAAATACATGGGGTTGCATGCATTTTTACACATGATCATCTGCCTGCATGAAAATAAGTTCTCTGCAAACAAGTATGCACTGGATATTTTCAATAGACTCTGGTAACCCAACATATTCTCATCCTCACTAATGGCATCTGGATCACAAGTCAATAAAACATTCTGTGGCTACCCTCAGTAAAAGCATCAAGGGGATACCATATCATTGAATTTTTATCAGGAATGAACTTCATCCTTAGTGTCAATGCATGATGGATACAAGTACAATCTTGTATATACTATGTCAACTTTATTACACATGCAAAATACAATGTGTAAAATAACAAGGCAATCTAGGACACCTTAACTGACACTGTACGGACACTGCTCAACAAATTTATCACAAAGTAGAGGATCAGAGCTGCCACAATGAGTCATCCCAACACCTATTCAGAGTGCTCTTGCCTGACTAGGGAACTGAAGCAGCCAGAGTAAATTTATTGAAAAAAAAAATTTTTTCTGTCACAGATACTCCCTGGGAAAAAATGGCCCTCTTTTTACATGGACATGTAAAAAGAGAAATTTTTTTTGCATCACCATGAAGAAAATAGAAATTGACAGACACAACTAGGCCTATATTTAAAAAATGCATCTATATCAACTTTAGCCAGGTTTTTGACACCCCAACAGACTACTCAAAAAACACATTGAGGAAAAGTGAATTGCACTCAAAGCAGATTATTCAGCAAGTTCTAAGCCTCAGTTGCATTTAGAGATTTGCCACTTCAACTGAGCTAATATTGAACTGGTGGGTTTTCTGGGCTTATTTGTGACACATGCTTTCCTGTGAACGCATGTTATTTTGTGCAAAGAGGAACACAAAATAATGTGAGTTCTATTTGGTGCTCTATTTTACTTTGGTATGAGGCATCTGTTGCTTAATTAGTAATGCAAAAGAATATATGATTAATAGGAATAACTGATAAACTCAACTGAGCTACTACTTTAAAATAAAAACTTACCCATGGTGTAGACCCAAAGTTCCATAAATTCTTTCATCCCCCTATTCCAAGAATGTGCAATACAGTCTGCAACACGGCAGACAAGTATAGTTGTGAATAATAATAATGTTGTGGACTATTGACAGCCTGACTGTTTTGAGACTCCGAGAAGAGTCCTTGAGTCACATAGTCTTGAAAACACCTACACAGTCCATTAGCAGTTTGATTTAACTCTCAAAGGTCTTTTTAAAAATAGTACATTAGGTTCATTCAAAGGATATGGTTTAAGGAGATTTTAGATTCAAACCTGAACAGTGCAAGAGGCCAAAAGGCTCTCAGAGTAGCCCTAAAGCCTTGCAAAAATTACATTTACAGTCTTGCCAATTGTGCAAGCTGAATTTTTGCTGAACTGCCATTGCACTGAGAGCTGGAGGCCATACATAAAATAATAATGCTGTTCTGAACATACATCCCATTCACATTACTATGAAACATAACTCCCTTGCACCTGCTGAAATCTGCCATTTTCACAAGTTCAATACAAAGAAAAAGGATAGGAGCATGAGAAATGCAAGAAAAGGAACAGAAAACACATCTGTTAAGTGCTTGGGTAAGCCTTTGAAATGATCCAATTTGGAATACAATCAAATTCAAAGATAAAGGTGTATTCTCTTGTCATATATCACAAAAATTTTTAAGTGGCCAAAATGTGGACAACGATTTTCATTTATCATCACAGTTGAAAACATCCTATAAAAATATTTGGCCAATATCTTACATTTTTTACCACAGGGGTATCACTGGGAAACTCCTGCTTTCTAAATACAGACTTCCATGTTTGCACTTTCTAGGATTGGTACTTCTCTACTTCCATACATTCTGATAAAACATGAAACTCAGAATGTCAAAAAATGAAAGAATTAAAACGTTGTAATTACCAAATAAAAATGAATGCTGATTGAAAAAACTTCCAGCTCTAGACTATAATGTGCCAATCCAGCCATGAAATTATATTTAGAAAAACTTTGTATTGATAAATGCTGATTATTGATATAAATATATCCCTACCCAAAGAATTCCAATTGAAATTCATGAACCAATTATGTTTACATTTCTCATAATGAGCCTGAGAAAATAGAAAAGTTCCAAACCTACTGATTAAGCACCCCTTTAAAGGTGATGGGAAAAAGGGCAAACGTGACTTTAAAAAAAACTACATAACAGTAACATGAAAGACTGCAAATATCTTTAGGTGGTAACACAGACTCATGAGATAATATCTCAAAATGAAATGGTTATTTGTATAAGATATGAATAGCAGCAGAAAGTGATTCTATTTTGCAGACCACAAAAGCAACATGGTCACATGTACCTCAGGGAATCAATGAAGAACAAAGGTCCCTGGTTCAACCTACTGTTGTGTGAAGCCATGACAGTAGGCTGACTTCCTCAAGGAACTTACAGCCAGAGATATACCATATTCCAGATCACTTTCCATGGCTACAAAAACTGCATGTCATGTTAAGAACAGAATACAAGATGCTGAAATCAAACTAAGCCAATTCAGGAGTACACAACCTGCCTTGGTAAAAAACACTGGCATGCCTCACAGGGAAAAGAATTTCAAAAAACCTTCCGGTGTAACAGGGACATGTTTGGCATCCTTGCTATCATTATCCACAGGACAAGGATGACCATAGGATTGCCAAAACAAGCAGCAACAATTACGACACAGACACAGGATCTCTGTGTATTTCTCCTGCACTCCATACATCCTGCAATGGACCCAAACATGCTCTTTGTGAATAGAAAATAAGTCAGTGGCACATGCAGGGTTTTTCCCCACCATTCAGTTTCATGGATGTGGATGGGAAGTGAAAAATCCCCCTCCAAAACCATTACTGAAGATAGATAAAAAATCCTGAATATGCCAGGGCAGGAAAATGTGGACAGAAATCACTAGTGGTACCTCTTCAGTTTATGATAAAGGATTTTCCAATCACATTGCTTTGGATCTTCAATTTTCAGCTGCTTCATGGCAAAAGCAATTTGCTGAGGAGAAAAGTGAAAATGACACAATGGCTCCCACATTCTCTGCTCCTCCACTAGGCTTCCCATGGTATCACAGGCTCTTCCTAGATAACAGAGAATCAGAATAAACCATTTATTTACATGACCACTCCATACCAATCTGTCTGACCAGTGCAATTTTCAGTAGCATTCCTCAATGTGGTATTATTTCTAGAACAGGTTCAAAATAAAATTAATCTGGAAAGGAATTCCAAAAGCCATGCTGTTTAAATACTGAGAGTTACTGTTTGATAGTCTATTACTCAAGTTTGGATCAAAAGGGATATGAAGAAAACTGAGTTTACCCAGCTTTATTCTATTCTTTCAATATGGAATTTCACTTATCATTTCATCATCATCGTCATCATTTTTTCCTGTCCATGTCATTCTAAGGGACAATGGTGGCTTGTGATATTTAAACATCACAAGCTGCCACTGCTAAGGGATCATATGAACTTGGACTTCATTGTGAATACCAAAGCCACATTTTCTCTTATGTTGGTCAGTGATTAGTTTGCTGCCTAGGGCATGCTATAGGCAGCAAACTAATCACCAATTTTGCATTGGTGAGAGCACTCACCAATGTAAAATGCTGGAAGAAGACATTTCTCCTTTCCATGGTCAACTTTCCTCCAAAAATACCTCCCTTATGATCATAATGCTACTTTTGTGCTCCACTATTCAGAACCAGCATGGATGAGAGTTCCATTCTTGTCATGCTGTTAAACTGATAAGATTTTTTTTTTTTTTACATGGACTTTAAGAGAGGTTTCCCATGCTGCAACAGTAATGGCACTCATGTGCATGTTCCTAATAATACAGGGTGTCCCATAAGTCACTATATCATTTCAAACTGTAATATTTTCCAAACTGCCACATGCAGGTCACTGTAGTTGGTATTGATGGAAAGAACATTCTTTAGAATTTTTTTCACAACAATGACTTGGAATCATACTCAAATGGAAATAGCTTCAAATGCATATTAGAAAGATGTACTTGTTTAGGGACATTTTTTGTGCACCTTGTTGAATCCTCTTTTACCAAATTGCTAAAATGTATGTTTTTTCTCCTTCCAATTTCAGATAAGACTTGAAAAACAGAAAGAAAAAAATTATTTCATTTAATTTGCTTTCACTGTCATTAGAAAAGGTTTCACAATTGACACTGGAGCAATGAAGAAAAGTTGCAACCTGGATCCTTTGAGAGTCTCATTTGAGTTCAAAGGGAGTTCTGACAATTTTTGGTGCTCAGCCTCATGCCAAATGTATTGATATAGGCAGGGGGCATTTTGAGGCACTTTCAAAACTCTGAAATATCTCAATTTTTTTTACAAAGATAATTTCAAATGACATGCTATCTTTCAGTTAATGTTACTTCTTTCTTTCATCAACTGTTTAGTAAATGTGATTTTCTGGAATGGTATAGTGACTTATGGGACATCCTGTCGATAGAGCATGTCAAGTATTGCATTAAAATTTATACTGTCATAACCCAGCCACATCCTTCTCTGGACAGTAACATGAAAGGTGCACAATGCTGCAAATGGATGGACAGGGTGATTCAGAAGTCACTTGCATTTTTTTTTGGTGCCGTATGTGGTATCAGTTGATTTGTCTGCTCCTCCTGAGGTTTGGTATAATATTAGTGCAGGGCAAAAGATACTTCGGTGTACAGTGTACAGCACAACAGCGCACATTCCCTTGGTTCCGGGTGTAGCCATCTGTGCACTGTTCCTCCCATCAAATGGTTATATCTCATGAGACAATTGTGTGTTAATATCAAATTTGGTATCATTAGAAAGGACATAAAATACAGTTGGAATCAAGTATTGGAACCATGAGTTCCAAACATGGAAAGTGTAGATATCAGCCACTGAACTTTATCAAACTGTTTGAATAAGTTAAAGTTCTTGTTTTAGCTTTGGAGAATAATGTCTTTGAACAATCTAAAGATGGCAGTTTCAAAATTAAAATGACACAATAACAAAGCTTTTATCTTAAATAGAAGAGAAGTTATTGCAAAAATAGTCTCAATTCCAGTCAATATAGGTGCCAGGAGCCAAAAATACACTCAAATACATATATCTCGAGATCGGAGCAAGATAAAAAAATATCAATTAAAATCAATTTATTAATACTGATTTTTGTCAAAATCAAAGATGGTTGAGCTCATCCTCTGGTTGATTTGGTGTGGAGTGACCCAAGAGTCAAGAAATGTTACACTAATTATTACTTTTTCGGTCATTTCTTCCGAAGTATCTTTCGCCCCATACTAACATTATACCAAAACTCAGGAGGAGCAGACAGATTGATTGAGACCACATACAGTACCAATAAAAATGCAAGTGACTTTTGAATCACCCTCTAGAATATAGCAAAAAGAGCTGAATGATGCACTTAAGATCTGTGAAACATGAATAAATTGTGCCTTGAATAACTACTTCCAATGCAAAAATTAATTTGTTAATAATTCAGGCAAACCTATTGTTTGGATGAAAACTTTACTTCCTCAGCAAGTGAAGGTCAAATAAAGGTTTTTATCTATCTATTAAAAAAAAGGAGTTTGGAGTAACAAAAATAGTTGCCACAGCTCTATGAGATCATGTCCCTTCTTTTAACTTTGTCCTCTTACAGCTCAAGATTGCCTTCAATTCAACCAGCAGTTTGCAGCAATATGGGGATACAGTGTAAAAGCAATATGATGTAAGCAGTGGCGAGTTCTAAGTCAAAGCAAATTTTAAATATGATTGGTAGTGAAGGTTTTCCCCTTGAAAGGCAGATGGTATCCCATTCTCCATATCATGGGCGTCCGCTCCCAGGGGCAAGGGGGGGCACTTGCCCCCCCCCTGGAAATCGGGCATGGCAATTTACTGGTAGTACTATACAAGAAATTTAATGTACTTCATGTGGAAATCTCTTCTTCCGTAGCACCATTTAGACCAATCTTGCCACGCAATATGAAACATCCTAACGAGTTAAAAATTCAACTCAACCCATCTGGTCCAGAGGTTCCGGTAACACTACTGCGCTACATAACATCGCGCCAAAGCTGAAGATCGTACAACATGGAATGCAAGTATCCCAGGCTGAATGGCTATTTCACGTAATTTTTGCAGTTACATTGTTATGTTTTTTATAACCAAGGTGCCTGTTGTTTCTCTTCGAGTAGAAGACCCTCCCAGCAAACAAGGCTATGTTGTACCAATGTTACAAACGTTGATTCAGCGTTATGTGTTTCAAATTGTTTGCTGGGCTGTCTCATTGTCTGACATAAGAGTTGCATAATAGGTCTACAGGTAAGGGCTACTTTGAGGCCCANTTTTTTTTTGGTGCCGTATGTGGTATCAGTTGATTTGTCTGCTCCTCCTGAGGTTTGGTATAATATTAGTGCAGGGCAAAAGATACTTCGGTGTACAGTGTACAGCACAACAGCGCACATTCCCTTGGTTCCGGGTGTAGCCATCTGTGCACTGTTCCTCCCATCAAATGGTTATATCTCATGAGACAATTGTGTGTTAATATCAAATTTGGTATCATTAGAAAGGACATAAAATACAGTTGGAATCAAGTATTGGAACCATGAGTTCCAAACATGGAAAGTGTAGATATCAGCCATTGAACTTTATCAAACTATTTGAATAAGTTAAAGTTCTTGTTTTAGCTTTGGAGAATAATGTCTTTGAACAATCTAAAGATGGCAGTTTCAAAATTAAAATGACACAATAACAAAGCTTTTATCTTAAATAGAAGAGAAGTTATTGCAAAAATAGTCTCAATTCCAGTCCATATAGGTGCCAGGAGACAAAAATACACTCAAATACATATATCTCGAGATTGGAGCAAGATAAAAAAATATCAATTAAAATCAATTTATGAATACTGATTTTTGTCAAAATCAAAGATGGTTGAGCTCATCTCTGGTTGATTTGGTGTGGAGTGACCCAAGAGTCAAGAAATGTTACACTAATTATTACTTTTTCAGTCATTTCTTCCGAAGTATCTTTCGCCCCATACTAACATACCAAAAATCAGGAGGAGCAGACAGATTGATTGAGACCACATACAGTACCAATAAAAATGCAAGTGACTTTTGAATCACCCTGTAGAATATAGCAAAAAGAGCTGAATGATGCACTTAAGATCTGTGAAACATGAATAAATTGTGCCTTGAATAACTACTTCCAATGCAAAAATTAATTTGTTACTAATTCAGGCAAACCTATTGTTTGGATGAAAACTTTACTTCCTCAGCAAGTGAAGGTCAAATAAAGGTTTTTATCTATCTATTAAAAAAAAGGAGTTTGGAGTAACAAAAATAGTCGCCACAGCTCTATGAGATCATGTCCCTTCTTTTAACTTTGTCTTCTTACAGCTCAAGATTGCCTTCAATTCAACCAGCAGTTTGCAGCAATATGGGGATACAGTGTAAAAGCAATATGATGTAAGCAGTGGCGAGTTCTAAGTCAAAGCAAATTGTAACTATGATAGTGAAGGTTTTCCCCTTGAAAGGCAGATGGTATCCCATGCTCCATATAAGTATCTTCTAGCTTTATGGAGGCTCACTGAACATAACTCAGACAAAAGAAATTGGGCCTAGGCTTCAGCAACTACTGATGTAAGCATTGACAGTATTTTGTGTTGTAATTCCATCTGCCTCCCACATAATTTCATTTTGTGTGACTGTGGCAAGAATAGAATGCAGCCTAGTTATTTATACATTATGTCCATGAATATTTTCTGGGGTTGATATCAATTTGATACCAATACATAGGCCCTTGTTGAGATGTCCTTCCAGATGGTACTTATATTGCAGAACAGACTAATTGATGGCTTACCATGAAACGTCTCATGCTTATGTGCCTCATCTGAGGATAGATTTATTGCATCTTCAATATAATGTTGAGGGATGTCCCTCAGCATTTTTTGTGGTGGTGGTGTATCAGTGCTGATACACCATCACCACAAAAAGCATGGAGGAACCATGTTAGGACAACAGTTAGTTCTACTAACTTGTCAACCTATTACAAGAGCATTAAGTGCATTTGCATCCAAAACAACATAAATTATGAAAGTATTTTCAACATTCTTCAAAAATCAATGCATAAGATGGTAAATGTAACTGAGTCAATATAACATGGAACAGACCTGCATTCTCAAGGTCCTTGTGACAGGCAAGGCGCAGGAGGATTTCCCTCACACACTCAGGAGGAAGATCACCAAACTTGGGAATCAAGTCCTCATCAGGCTATTCATGAAAATGAAATTTGAATTATGAAATATTGAACAGGAAAATGATCACATAATGAATAATCACTAATTATGCTTCAAACAAGTTACTAGTACCTAACATGAGACCACACTTAAGTTGGTGCAATTAAGATCATTCACACAAATGGTTAAAGAGGGAATTGCACATACTGGCTGGATCTGAATGGCATTAGCAGCCTGTGCAATGCGGTCAATGGTCTGCCAGTGCTGAGACCAGAGAGCTGTGCTACCTATTGGCCGACCCCAGCAGTAGTACTCGTATAGAGTTTTTCTCAGGTCCTCCACTAGCTTCTGCAGGATATGGATGTTTGTCTGACTCACAGCAACTGGAAAACATCGAAATAATTTTTTTTTTTAGTTTCATTGCCTAGGCCTCTTTTCACCTCCTCTGTTCCTTGAATGTAAACACCATTTTGATTTTAACCCATTCTGGCCAAAATTAATTTCTATTCTCCATGGAAAAAAAAAATTTTTGAATGAAATTTAACAAGTAAAAATAATAAAGCAATAAAATAATAACCAACTCTTAAAAGTACCAGAATAACTAACTACGATGCCAAATGGAGTCATAGGTTTAAAACAATGCCTTAATATATAACATTTTACCATGATGCAATATGATATCATTAGGCTGGAAAAGGTTAAGTCTAATTACTTCTTCAAGTTTCAATCTCAGTAATGTTATAAAGCAGCTAAAAGAAGTGTATGAAAGGACTGTCAGAAAGTACTCAATTTTGGCTATATAATGTAGTGCAGAGGATGAAGACATCATCCGACAATGGAAGGGAGTTTACCATGGTGCGTAACTTCCTCAAGCATATTAAGTAGAACTCTCTGGGCACAACCAGAGAGATTGGTAAGGTTCTGGACGATGAGGAGCTCCATCAATCGGGATATGTAATTAAAGCGTCGGATATCTCTAATCCCGCTCTTGAAATCGAGTCTTTTCAATGCTTCACTCAACTTGTTAAACCCTGCCACCTGTGTAGGATGAACAAGTTTTTATAAACTCTGGATAATACGTCCAAAAAAAAATCAGTCATGTTAATTGGAGGAATGAGCTCACCTCTCTGGTGCATTTGAGTGTGATGGGGCAGAAGGGAGGTCTTATGAGAGAGCCTGCGAACACATGAAAGAGAGAGAGGAATCAAACCTTGGATATGGCTTCCGGCGGTTTTACGATATAGTTTTCTATATTTCGTGGGCACGCACGTGGTGGAGGGGCAATTTGGGAAAGGGGATTAACTGAAAGTGCGCTTTATGAGTAGCTTGGGAAGGGAATACAGTAAATATCTCCTTCCTCACTTCCCTCACTTTCACCCTCCATGCATGAACTGCTCTCCCATAATTTTCCATTGTAACAAGGAATCACCCCTGTTATGTGTGGTCAGTGCTCACGACCATACTCTCCCTGACTTCAACAGAACAAGTTGGGGGCTTCGAGCCCGATGCAATGAGGGAGGGGGAAGGGGGCCCTGTGAGATTTTGATTTGAGGCAGAAAAAGAAAGACAAGGTTCGGTATCGTGCTGGTCTCGTGGGGTTCACCAACCTCTGCGTAGAAGATCTCGCTCATGGACGTCTCCGCTTCCTTCGTTCTCAACCATGTCCACCATGTCTTGCTCATCATCCCTAAGGGGGGAAAAAAAAAACTGAGATGAAGGTGTCAGGGCAAAATATAAAGGAAACTAAGAAGGTGACGGGATAGGGAAAAAAAGGAAACTAACGAATCCCATTGTACCACTTCCCAGGAATCGCAAAAGACATGGTTTGTCGGTTAATGAAAATAGGACCGTTTTAAAGCACGTTCACGATTAAGTGAGGTCATCGTGGCAGCAGAAAAAGGTCTAGCCTTTTTATTCTCACTAGTGAAACGCTTGGTTAGTGACCCGATGCCAAAACCGAGGAGGATCTGTTATCTGATCCCTCCTTCCGTATGTCAGCACACAATTGGCCTCGTGAGATTCCCTCTTGTTTCCTTCAAGATACAACATTTATGACTTCGTTGCAGTGGATGATGGAGTTCTCAACATCATACTGGTCAAACTTTCGAAATAATTGATGAAAAACGCACGACGAGATACTATCAAATACCTATCACGCCAGAGAAGCAGCGAAGAGGAGGGCGAGGAGGACATTATCGATCCTGGGTTCTATCCCTCCTATAGACTCACGGCTGTTGCCAGGCTGTCTGCTCCGTTTCCTTCCCACTCGGCCCATCCCTTCCCTTTCCAGTGGCCGACGGCGTGGTCGGGAATTATTCAGTCCTCTCGATTAGATTAGATCGATTAAGCCCGGCGAGGGGCATGAGTCTCACGTCCCTGAACGATACCGTTGCTCCCTGACGGTAAGGAGGCCCAGGGCATGTCTGTCCTTGAAGCTTCATGGCCATGAATTCCTGTCTAAACTAGCATTCTCATCACAAAAAAAGGAGACTGGGTGAGCTTTTCTTCTGATAGCGATTCTATCAAGAAACTCTCGTACTACATTCCTTGGCCTGGATGATCTTTATCCGTAGGAAGATTTAAAAAAAAATGTATTCATAAGAGCTCTAAAATCGAAGGGCCAAAAATTTACCTCGATTGTGGGCATTTGTGACTTGGTTGGACGAGGATGGCGTCGTGATAGGAAACCACACATTCCAAAATTTTCTTTCTTTCCCATCCACCGTCGATTTTCACCCATGCCTCTCCCGGAGAGCGCCAATCCGGGCTGAGGAAAGGCATTCCAGCACGTCTTAATCAGGACATGGAGACGAATTCGTTCTCATATCGATTGCCAATCTAATCGGGGAGAATGGGGCAAGACACGCAAGTTCTGTTTTCTCACAGCACTGATGAAAGGGAAGTAAACGCGAAGCACGCTGCACGTGTGGCTTTGTTGTGGTGCTCGCACTGGCTCTTGGTCTGAGCTGGGACCTCCCTTTCCAAGTGCGCATGCGCGTTACGCATGGAGGAGGAAGCGACGCAATGGTTCAGCTGATACAAGATGCGGAACACTGCGTCCTCGACTCAACACGTACATACGACGCAGCAGCAGGTTCTTGTTTTGCCCGACCCATCGCTTCTACGAACTCCCTCGAGACTATGAGTCAAATTGCCAAGTACAGTTGCTGCAAGGCATCATCTCAACCTCTAGACTCCACAGCAATGGTAAATAGACTCGAAGCGACGCTGGGGGATGTGTAAGTCATGCTTTTTCAGGAAATGAAGCAGCAACCGAACGGCCTGCGATAATTTTTCCGCCATCGATCCCATCAAGGCTGTGCTCTCATCTTCCTCTTATGACTTGCAGAAAAAGATAGATTTTCGTTTCCTGCACAAAAAGTGATGGTTATCGTTGTATGAACACATCGGATATATCGCTATATAATATGGACGACATATGAATTAAATATATTCAATAGGAAAACGTCAAGGACAAAATGAACCTCTTATTGCCTTTCTTCGTGAATTTCAACTCCCACGACGTAGCAAACTAAACCGGATTTGTTCACGAAGCCACAGGAAGTTTCACTCTCCTGTTTCAACATCCAAGTTAGCATTCATTGGAGGAACAAGTAACCGAAATGATCTCTTATTTGATGGAAACCCATAAAGCAATGGATGATCCAAAACTCGCCATGGACAGAGATGGATGTCCAGAGTTGTCTAGAGATGGATAAAAGTCCAGAAGAGGTCGTCCTTTTGATGTTCATAGGATGGTAGTCACCACTATAGATCGATATCTTGCCATTGGTTCTGAGCTTTAACCGGGCAGGATTTCCCTACATCTTACCCTAAATCAATTCAATTTTATTGAATGACGGCTTTATAGAATGGCGACATGGGCATTTGATCATGTGATTTCAGTTATTTTCTTTTTTTTTATTCAAATCTCTCGTCTTGCACTGAAACCCCGTAACTTCAATCATAATATCAATAGTGTGGCTTTATAATTCGATCAGGGCGCGATTTCACATAAAGTATTCGAAATTTGAACGAAAAGATGGGTTAGTTTGTCTGTGGACATCCAATGGACAACTTCTTACGGTCTACCATTGGAGGCCCTTGGATGGACCATATTGAAACGGGCTTCCATCTGGCCTTACACCTACTAGTTCATTCGACAAAAATAAAGTTCTGCCGATATAAGTGAGGTCGCGCTGAACTCGCCGCCGTACTTGTCTCGATTCCCCCGGTGCCACTGGATGGTTCCACAGAGGCTTTCATCTTGTACTCGATATTTTCCCACGTACAAATAGAAGGAAGAAAGTAGTTGTAATTAATGCATTTGTCTAGAGACGTAACCCAGCTCAAGGAGACTCCAGGCAATTCTTGCGCAGTGGATGGAGCGAGTGTATTCACCTGGTCAGGTGAGGCTATGGGGGCAACGCTCGATTCTATCTCGCATTTCTCGTGGTGATGAGAAACACGGTCCTTTAACTACGAGGCTTGGATCAATGTAGAGAAAGCTTAGAATTAGGAGTTCCCTCATTGACCGTCCTCACTCTTCTGATTCAAATCCCCAAAGAGACTTCAACGGATGAACACGAACTTCAAGATTAGAAAATCCACGGAAAATGTTGTCCTCTAGCCCCTCAGAGTGTGATGAATATTCATATGCATGCAATTTTTTATGCCACGAAAATTTTGTAGCACATTTTGACGTACATGGGGACAACATGGGTAAAATCCCAGAAAACAAACGAATACTCAATCAACGTTGTATGAATGCTAAATTTCAACCTTCCCACTGTTGTGGTAGCGTTGCATCTAACATTAAGTCAATATTTCAATGTCGCTTATTGGAATACTCAGATGAAAGTTAAAATTCAACACTGGTTGAACATTGGGCCAACATTGCAATGTCACTTACTGGAATGCTTACTCCCACCCTAGTAGCACTCCAATATTGGGCCAATAACGACGGCAATGTATATATGCATATATATATACTCCTCCAAAGTCGGATCGATGCAGCAAGGCGAGACCTTAGCACCCTTCAAGAGATCAAGAATCGCGGCTTGTCATACTGGAGACTGGGGGTGCCAGAATGAGGGAGGAATAGAAATACCGAGACTGGGAGGCTCGGACTGACCGTCTTCAGAATCTGTTTATCTATTTCGGACTCACGAAATTGATTATAACAATGTATATCAAATGTATTACGTGGTGTCACTTTTG